TGGGTAAGATGGTGTTTTCTAAGTTTTTGCATTGCCAAGTTATTCTACCCTTTGTAATTAATACACCATGTGGCAGAAGATATTTTGGAATATCTTTAAAATAGCTGTGTTCCAGGAGCCAGTGAGCAGCCCTGCTGAGAAGAGTTGGCAACATTATTGCATTGTTTGAAACCATTTGTGCACCCTTGAACTTTAGTCAATACTTGGGGTTGTCATTCCTCTTTAGGGTTATGAACATTTGATACCATGAGTCATACAAGATGCTTGTTCCCAGCACCAACATAACAGGCCAAGGCCCATCATGACTTCCAGGAATGGGTAGTGGGAGGGCTAAAGGGGGAGAGCAGAATAATTTTAGACCTTGGCATAATTGTAGGGCAAGAGTGAAGAGTTAAATGACCAACATAAGGTTTCGATTTTCTGTTTCTGTTTTTTTCTTTCATTTGTGAGGGGGCTTCTTCCCTATTATTAAATATAATGAAGCATAATCCTCAAATAAATACCTTTCTGTTAATATAGGAGGCATTTGGTGACCTCGGGAAATGAAAGTACATCTTGATAAATCATTCAAGAGTCAAATGATAGGCTTCACAATGGATACCTCAGACTTTTTTTCTTTGTAATTATTCTTTAAAATGTAGGAAATTTATCAATCACAAATCACTCATCAATCACAAATCAAGCCCCTAATTTTTATTTTCAAGCATGAATCATGTTTGTCAAAGCTCATTGATTGTTAACTAATAGAGACTTCAGCTTTCCCAACGAGGAAATCCACATGCCATAGATAAAGGGAAGGAGGAGAACAGAACAGAGGTAACCATGTTTTCTTTTCAGGTGACCTGAAAAGAAGGGGTTCAGTGATAGAAACTGCGGAGATTTCGTCTTGGCTTTCAATGGGTCTCACTATTTCACTTCACATCATAGATCACACATAAGGTATTTATGGTTTTAAAAAATTCCTTTTATTAATAAAATGATTTAAAAATGTTTGCTTTTAATCTCATTTTAATTTCTTGGCAACAAAAATAAAATAGTGTCATTCTGGATGTGATTCAACTGTCTGATGGACACTAAATCAAAATTTGTTTGGTTTTATTCCTTTTGTTGGCTGAGTTGATAAGTTCATTCCACATGATCAGCATGGAGGCATCACTAGCATTACCCCACATTTGGAAGACATATTCTTGGCAGGGAAAGAAGGGCACCTCCATGGAGTCTCTTGCCATGTTCTTGTGTTCCTTCTTTCTGAGATCTCCCTCATTTTATTGTATTTAACTACATATACATTTTAATTCAATCCCTATAGCCTTAAAAACTTGCATTTAGGTTGATGGATGATTAAACCTTGGGCTTGAAACTTTGAGGGTTTTTTTTTTTTTTGTACTAACATTCATTCAGTTTGTTTAGGTTCCTCAATCCAGAACCTGTTCAAGTTCATGATTTGGTGTCAACACATAATCCCTGACCAACAAGAGAATTTTTCATTTTTCATGGGATGATCCCTGCCCCCCTCCCCCTAAAAAAATCTCTATCCCTTCCTCACCTCAGTTTAGACACACACACACACACACACACACACACACACACACATACATTTTTTTTTGCTGAAATATTTCAGTCCAAACTCTAAAATGCCAATTGATGAGGTTGTTTTTATTCATAAGCTAAATACCATAGAACTAATTTCTAGGATGATTTTTAGGTCCGAGAACTTCTAAATTGAGAGATTTTTAAAATAGCATATTTCAAGAGTTTATTCTAGTGGTATTGTCTTTATTTCAGACCATGTTGTCTTATGTACTCAATATAAATTATTTTTTTCAAGTAGTAATCTCATAGTGGCAAGACTTGCCTCAAGCAACTCATGCCTTACTTACCTTTACTGACTTGCTTTTCTTCTTTTAATCTTATTGTAAATCATATTATCAGAAAGTATACATTGTACAGAGGATGTTTTTGGAATTCAGAAACTATTTAGAAATAACTTTAAAATATGAATCTCTTAGGTCACAACATATCTGTTCTCATTCATACCTGGGCTCAGCCACATAGACTCATCCTTTAGTTCCTAAATATTCTGCATATTTTCTTTCACTTCTAAACTTCCACATAACCCAAGAAGTAGCAGAATCAGTGCAAAGCAGAGCCCAAAACAGGTAAAAGTCCTTTAAATATTTCTTTTTTTACAACGAACCAGCTACACTTAAAAAAATAAACTATGAAACCATTGATATTATGTGTTAAGAATAATTTGGTAAAAGAAGTTAAAAAATGGAGACATTCTGAATGTTTGAGAGAATCATACCAACTACATCCAAATATTGGGAAATCTTTGAGGCCTCACTCAGAGATTTCTCTCTTTGGTAAGTGGACATTTGGTGACCTGGACATTTGGTGCAAAGCAGTTGTTAGGGGACTTTTAATCACCATTTCACAGGCTTCAGCACATGCTGTTCATGGTCTTGCTTCTTCCTTCCAGGCACTGAGCAGGGGACATTTATTCTACATTAACAGTCACTGTTGTCTTACTTGGGGGCCCTGCTCTCCTGGTTTCTGGTGTCCTTTGCAGGACTACTTTTTCTTCCATTTTGCATTTGTCAGACCAAGCCGTTTCAATTAGCTCCAACTTAAAAAATAAATAAATAAATTTCACTTCTCTCTTCCTTTTGATTCTCTCATTCCACCAATATTTCCTCTTCTTTCTAAAGTTATGTGTCAGGTTGTCTTAGAGGATATCTAGTGAGCCATTCTAGTCTCACTGATATTTCCTGGTTTCTTCATCTGCATATAGTTCTAAACAGTTCCTTGATGGCTCAGAGGTAGATATCAGTGTACAGGCCTTTAGGCCTGAATGATATGGACTGATCTTTCAATGTCAATTAAACAATGAATGTTTTTTTTAAAAAAAAAACCACTATACTGATCACACTTTGGTTCAATTCCTTTTTTTAAGGGCTATTTTCCTAGCAATAGTGTAAGTTCCATGAAGTCAGAATGCTACTGTTTTATTTTGGTTTCATGTACTTTCCTATCCCCTGGCATCTAGTAAAATGCCTCAACATAATAATAACTCATTGCATTTTTGCTGTTCCTGAGAGTAAGTGATGCTAAAATTCAAATAATAGCCAACAATAATGAATATTTATTGAGCCTTCTATGTATAACACAAATAATCCCCAAACCCCTCAAAGCTAAAGGCATTAATCTAAATGGGCCCAGATTGACAGCTCTCCCAGGTGACTGACAGAAGCAAATTTGAAGCCTTTGAGAGATAATAATTTAAAACCCAGGTTTCAAAGAGTTCTTCCAGATAATGGTTCAAAAGTACATGATATCACCATTAAAAGATCACATAGTCACAAGGAAACAAACTTTTAAGAATGAGTCATGAAAATAATAAGGTACAGAAGTGAATTTACAGATATTAGAGATTAAAAACTACAGATTGTACAGGATACTTACTATGTATAAATGAATAAAGAAAGAAATTAAAAGTATAATGAAGGATGAATAGAATATAAAATTTGGATGCTTTTATTTAAAATAAACTAGATAAAACTTCTAAAATGAAAAGGTAAATAATTTAGACACCCTTTGGAATGACTAAATGGCAGATTTGACATGAATAAAGATAGTCAAGTAGAGTAGATTTCCTTGAAAAAGAGAATCCAGAATATAGTGCATAAAGAAAAAAGAAAAAATGAAGAAACTAAGAAACTTGAAGGACAGAGAAAGATGACTCAGTACACATCTAATCAAAGTTCTTAAAGGAAAAAGTAAAGGATATGACAACCCACTTAAAAATAGCAGGAAACATTTCCAGAATTGAAGAAAGACACCAACCCACAGATAAAGAAAGTTGATTGAGTCTTAAGCAAAAAGAAAGCACCATAGATAACACCTAAGAGCAAGGACTTGGGAGGCAGATAGCCTGTGTTCATTTACTGGCTTAGACCCTTAACTGGATGACATCAGGCAAAACAGTGAACCTCTGGGGCCTCAGATAATTAATTTGTAAAACAGGAATGACAATAACAGTGATTACCTTAGACTCTTAGTGTTGCTATATGAATTGAACAAGTTAATCTTCTTTAAGCTCAAAGAACAGAGTCTAGTACATGGCAAAATGAAAGATGTTATTTAAGTACAATTTAAAAGTGTAATATAATATAATAACAGCTGAATTCTCATCAGCAGCAATGGAATATAACAGAATGATACATTCAAATTTTATAAAAAGTAACTATATAACTAGAATTGTGCACCAGAAAAACATTTTCGTCTAAGCATCAATTAAAGATATTTACAAAAAAAAAAAAAAAACAAAATAAATAGACAATCTGACAGTCCAAAAAGTCCTTTCTAAAAGTGCTTCTAAAAAATGTACTTGGAAAATAATAAAAGTGATCCCAAAGAAAAGTGCATCTCATTCTGAGATGCAGAATGTAACAAAGAACAAAGAAAATGGTTCACCCATGGGTAGATCTAAACAAATGTTGATCGTTTACAAGAATGAAAATAATTTCTTAATCAAGATGGAATAAAACACTAGATAACAATGGCAGAATTGCTAGTGAGATAATATGAGTTTGAACATTCTGAGAGCTTTCTGCTTTTGGGGAGGAGTGTAAATGCTGCCTAAGTTTAGAATATGCAAGGTAAGTTTGCAAATTGAATAGACAAGATAAAATTTCTGGAGCAACATAATAGTGAATTACTAAGAATAAAAATAGAGTGTGTAACAGGAAGTGACAAAAAAAGTACCTGGCTGCTTAGAATAAAAGTGACCCTCTGCAAGACTGGAATGAAGCCTTCCTCTGTAGGACATCATCACAGAGCACAGGACACTGCCTGCCCTTCAAGTAAGGCCATATCTCCTGGGACTCTGGACTTCTATCATCAGGAGTCACCGGCAAGAACTGACCTGCTCCTGACCCTCAAGACATTTTACACCTTCTGTAGCAGTCGCAGCCTTGCTGTCTCCAGATCACTAGGAATAATGGCATTTAGCTTTTCATCTCTTGCCACAAGAACCAAGAATTTGAAGGTCATACTCCATCCACCAGATTCCCCGTTATTTTGTGCATTCCCTTTTCGGATTGCTTCTCGTTTTCTGAAACTATGTGAATATTCTCTTCACATTCTTGTTTACTTAAAGCATGGCTATGCCTTGGTGACATAGCTTCCCCTTGTTTCCTAAGAGTGGCTATGTTCTCTGACCACACTTCTCATATCACTGGGCCTGGAGGTCTAGTAACTGTTTTCCGATGTAATTGATGAGAATTCCAGACCATTCTTTCTTCCTTGTGCACAAACCACTCTTTGGGTCATCAGATTAAATCATCTGCTACTGAACTAAGTGCTGTTACCCACTGTTCCTGCCCCATGAACATATCATTGAAGAGTTTAGCTCCTGGCTTACTGTCTCTAAGTTTCCTTAAGAGTCAAATCCAAATCTCAGAACCTGAATAAAACCAAATATTACCCCAATATAACCCAGAATTACTTTTGAGATGGTGAGGAGGAAGTAGGTCTGGCTCCATTCAAGGATTCAGACTGATAGAGGCCCTGCCATCTTCACCACGTGATTTCCAAGGTTAATCCTGGAGGGCATTGTCCACCCAGAAGATGGAAAAAGAGAAAGTACAAAACCATGGAAATATATTTTTTTTCTGAGGCAGGCAAGGGGCTTCTGAGAGGAAGGAACTGAGTTTGTGTGTAGTTGGCCTAGTGTGTTCTTCTGGTATGAGCTCTCTCTTCTGTTCTTCCTCTCACACACTCATGCTTCCTAGGAGATAACCCAAAGTGCTACCCATTCACTGCTGCAACTCAAAGGTCAGATCACCAGGTGCTATGCTGCAATATTCCTCAGGTCTAAATGTGACTCCTGATACCTATACTAGAGACAGGTGTATGGCCTGTACCCATTCAACCCT